GTACAAAAACAGAAGGATAGACCAATGGAACAGAATAGAAACACCGGAGATCAATCCAAACATCTAGGACCTAAAACCAACCCCTGGAACAAGGACAGCCTCTTCAACAAATGGTACTGGGAAAACTGGATGTCCACATGTCGCAGTATGAAGCAAGACCCCTACCTTACACCTTATACAAAAATCCACTCAACATGGATCAAAGAACTAGAGATGCGCCACGACACCATGAAACTAATTGAGAGCACAGGGGAAACCCTTCAAGATATCGGAATAGGCGAAGAATTCCTGGAGAAGACCCCACAGGCACGGGTAATCAAAGATAAAATGGGATTACCTCAAATTGAAGAGTTTCTTAACAGCAAAGGAAACAGTCAGGAAAGCGAAGAGGCAACCAACAGAATGGGAGACGTTATTCGCAAACCACACAACAGATAAAGGATTAACAACTAGAATCTACACAATGATCAAAAAACACCACAGAATCAAAACAAACAACCCAATAAAAAATGGGCCAAGGACCTTAACAGACATTTTTCAAAAGAGGAAATCCAAATGGCCAACAGACACATGAAAAAATGCTCAGGATCCCTAGCCATCAGGGAAATGCAGATCAAAACCACAATGAGATACCACCTCACTCCGGTTAGATTGGCTTACATACAGAAATCAACCAACAACAGATGCTGGCGAGGATGTGGAGAAAAAGGGACACTAATCCACTGTGGTGAGAATGCAAACTGGTAAAGCCACTATGGAAGACAGTCTAGAGAATCCTCAGAAACCTGAATATAGCACTACCACAGGACCCAGCCATCCCACTCCTTGGAATATACCCAAATGGAATTAAAGGGGTGAAAAAAGCCATTTGCACCTCAATATTTGTTGCAGCTCAATTCATAATAGCTAAGACATGGAATCAACCTAAATGTCCATCAATGGATGACTGGATAAAGAAACTATGGGATATGTACTCTATGGAACACTATACAGCAGTAAAAAACAATGAAATCCGGGCATTTACAACAAAATGGAGGAAGCTGGAAAACATCATGCTGAGTGAAATAAGCCAGTCCAAAAGGGACAAATATCACATGTTCTCCCTGATCGATGGCAACTAAACGAGCACCTAAAATGATACCCATTGAAGTGAAATGGACACTATGAGAGACAATGACATGAGCAGCCCTTGTCTAGACTATTGAGGAACAACTTACTATTTTGTTCCTTTAGTATTTTTGTTGTTGTTGTTGTTGCTCAGTTTGCTCTACACAAGACCACTGGTTGAACTCTGCAATCAATGCACAACCATTCATAAGCGTTTAAAAATTAACAGAAAATTGATCTCTGTGAAACATAGGAGTGGGAATAAGAGAGGGAGGAGATATATAGGATGGCATATACTCACTCAGACCTACCTCCAATGGTGGAACTAGAAATGTGCCAGGGGATTTCAACTCAACCTTACCAAGGAGGCAGGTACCAATGCCAGCACACTTGGTAAAGTGATAAGTATAAATACACAACTGATCAAAAATATAGGGTAAGTGTCGAAGAGATTACACAAATAAGACCAGTGTAAGCAAATAATGAAAGACAGAATCAAAAGGGAGAGAATGATCCTGCGGGGGAAGCAGGACACACAGCAGACTCATAGAATGGCAAATGCCCAAAACAGCACTCCTGCCTCAGAATCAACCCTTGGGACATTCGGATCTGACTAAAAGGTCCGTGAGAGTCTCACAGGCATGGAAAGCCATGACACAGTGGCAAAAAAAACAATCTAAATGAAGGATCCTGGTGAACAACACCCCAGCAGAAGGATCAGGCCATCAAGGAGAGAGGCGCCTTTCTCTGAAGGGAGGAAGGATCCTCCACTGTGATATGGCCTTGACTAAACAAATTCAGAGTTGGTGAACTTAAAGGGCTTCCATAGCCTAGACAGCTAATAGCAAGAGTCTCGGGTGATTGCTGACATCATAAATAAGAGTGCCAATTGTTAAATCAACAACAGGAGTCACTGGGTTCATGCTCCCCACGCAGGATCTCTGTCCTTAATATGTTTAACTATGAAACTCAAAAACAACACTACTAGTTGAACAATACCCTATACCTGGTTCAGTTGTATGAGTGCAACCTGTTGAAATCCCTGCTTAGTATATACTTAGTTGATCTTCAGTATATGAAGGTAATTGAAAATGAAACGTGATGAAGGGCGGGATGGGAGAGGGAGTGGGTGAGGGGAGGGCCACGGGAGGGAGGGAGGTTGGGGGGGGGAAGCCACAACAATACAAAAGTTGCATTTTATATTCTACTTAAAACTATTGGTTGAACTCTGTAATTAATACACAGTTACTCTTAGGTGTTTAATTAATGCTATAACTAGTACTCAAATAGTATTTTACACTTTGTGTTTCTGTGTGGGAGCAAAATGTGGAAATCTTTACTTAACATACGCTAAATTGATCTTCTGTATATAAAGATAATTGAAAATTAATCGTGATGTGAATGGGAAGGGAAGAGGGAGTGGGAGAGGGGAGCGTTGTGGGTGGGAGGGAAGTTACGGGGTGGGGGGGAGGAAGCTATTGTAATCCATAAGCTGTACTTTGGAAATTTATGCTCACTAAATAAAACACACACACACACACACACACACACACACACACAAAAGAGACTGATGAACTGGATCGGTTGAGCTGATAGACTTTGATACAAATCAGGAAGGATGGTGTCATTATAAAGGAGAAGCATATGAGGATGAGGAGCATCTTCCCAGAGCAGGTATTCAGTGTTACACCTGTTAACGGGGGCAGGGATAAGACTCGGTGCTGTCACTTTATATGCAGTAGTGAGTGAGTGAAGGGTTATAACCACAATATGCTCACTACTTCCTATTGTTTTTTGGTAAAATCCAACTATAGTGGCTTGCGCCACGGCTCAACAGGCTAATCCTCTGCCTGCGGCACCAGCACCCCAGGTTCTAGTCCCAGTCAGGGCACTGGATTCTGTCCTGGTTGCTCCTCTTCCAGTCCAGCTCTCTGCTGTGGCCCAGGGTGGGGGGTGGGGGCAGTGGAGGATGGCCCAAGTCCTTGGGCCCTGCACCCACATGGGAGACCAGGAGAAGCACCTGGCTCCTGGCTTCAGATCAGCGCGGTGCACCGGCCACAGCATGCTGGCCATGGTGGCCATTGGAGGGTGAACCAACGGCAAAGGAAGACCTTTTTCTCTCTCTCTCACTGTCCACTCTGCCTGTAAAAAAAAAATCCAACTATAGTAGTGTTTTAAAAGTTAAAATGGGGGGGGGGTGGGCCAGCACTGTGGCATAGTGGGTAAAACCACTGCCTGCAGTGCCAGCATGCCACATGGATGCAGGTTCAAGACCCAGCTGGTCCACTTCTGATCCAGCTCTCTGCTATGGCCTGGGAAAGCAGTAGAGGATGGCCCAAGTCCTTGGGCCCCTGCACCCGCATGGCTCCTGGCTTTGGATCAGCACAGCTCTGGCCTTTGTGGCCAACTGTGGAGTGAACCAGTGGATGGAAGACCCCCTGGCCCGCCTCTCTCTCTCTCTCTGCCTCTTCTTCTCTCTCTGTGTAACTCTTTCAAATAAATCTTTTTAAAAAAGTCAAAATGGGGCCAGGATTGTGGTGTAGCAGGTAAAGTCACCTGCACCACCTGCAATGCTGGTATCCTATATGGGTACTGGTTCAGGTTCTGGCTGCTCAACTTCTAATCCTGCTCCCTGTTAATGCACCAGGGAGAGCAGTGGAAAATGGCTGAAGTGCTAGGGCCCCTGCACCCATGTGGGAGACCTGGGTGAAGCTTCTGGCTTATTTGAGGAGTGAACCAGTGGATGGAAGATATCTCTCTCTGTTTCTCCTTCTCTCTCTGTAATTGCCTTCCAAACAAATAAATACATCTTCTTAAAAAAAAGGATTAATCAGCATTATAGTGTTTTCAAATAATGTGTTAGGTAATTATATAAGGGATTTATTCTCAGGTTATCTTTGGACTGATAGTTTCATAGCAAAATTTCATAAATATTACTGTGATAGAAAGTGACTAACATGGGGGTGGGCACTGTGGTGTAGTGGGTAAAGCTGCCACCTACAGTGCTGGTAGTCCATATGGTTCAAGTCCCAGCTGCTCCATTTCCAATTCAGTTCCCTGCTAATATGTCTGGGAAAGTGGTGGAAGATGATCCAGGTGCTTGGGCCCCTACACCCACGTGGGAGACCCAGAAGAAGCTCCTGGCTCCTGGCTTCGGATCAGCCCAACTCTGGCTGTTGTGGCTATTTGGGGGAGTGAACCAGCAGATGGAATCTCTCGTTCTCTCTCTGTGTCTCTGCCTCTCTGTAACTCTGCCTTTCAAAGAAATAAATAACTCTTTTTTTTTTTTTTTAATTTGACAGGTAGAGTTATAGACAGTGAGAGAGAGACAGAGAGAAAGGTCTTCCTTCTATTGGTTCACTCCCCTAATGGCAGCTATAGCCGGTGCTGTGCCTATCCAAAGCCAGGAGCTGGGTGCCTCCTCCTGGTCTCCCATGCGGGTGCAGGGACCCAAGCACTTGGGCCATCCTCCGTTGCCCCACCCCCACCCCAGGTCACAGCAGAGAGCTGGACTGGAAGAGGAGCAACTGGGACAGAATCTGGCGCCCCAACCAGAACTAGAACCCAGGGTGCCAGCGCCGCAGGTGGAGGATTAGCCAAGTGAGCCGTGGTGCCGGCCAAATAAATAACTCTTTAATAATAATTAAAAAAAAAGACAGAAAAATGAGTCGCACATAAGCTTTGCATTTAAAATTAATGGAATTACTTTTTCTTTTGGCTCTGTCATCTAGACTATAGTGCAGCAAAAGATATCAAGAAGGACAGTAATCTAATAAGTGGGATTTCCTGTTCCTAGCTAATAAACTTTTGAATAATAGTTATTTAAGTTATATATAAACTTTAATTTCTAGAGCAAATGGAAAAAATATAAAATACAAAATCATCTTGCCTACCATAAATACCCCTGGGGTCCAGAGTAACACCAGCATGAGTTTCCCTTTTGACACCTTCTGGCTAAAATAAGGTCATAAAACATTCAGTTAGCAGCATAATTAAATTGATAGGGCCTAAGTTCCTTGGAACAACTGTTACAGACTACTTTTCCAATAGGGAAAAAAATAAAAACTATTTTTTGAAAAGGAAAAATGTGTACAAATACTTTTATATACAATGTAAGAATGAGATTTTCTGGATATTTGTATATTGATCAGAGAAAACACTTAAAATGAAGTTATTATGGGTCAGATATTTGGCCTAAGTGGTTTGCATGCATTGGCTCATTTAACTTTTAAAATCTCTATGAGGTAGGTGCTATTTTAATTTCCATTTGACAGATGAGGAAACTGACACACAGAGAGAGCACAGAATGTAACCTGTGTCACTGCTAGGAAGTGGTGAAGCCAGGATTCAAAGCCGAGCTGCTTGCTCTGGGGTCTGTCTGTGGAACCACGATGCACGCATGCATGGGCGTGCACCCTGCAGCCTGTGAGTGCTTTTCTTACCACCACTCGTAAAGTTTTCACTAAGGTCTCTCCTCCAAATGAAGTCTCCAGGGAGAAGTTGATACTGTGGAGGCCAGTCTCCAGAGGCAGCACACTGAAGGTCACCAAGTGAGTGGAGGAGCCTTCCACTTTCTGGCGCACGCATCTGGAGGACTTTGTCCCCTGGTGGTCAGCGGCCAGGTTTCCTGATGTACAGATTCCCTCCACCGTAGACATTTTAACACAGAACTGAAATATTAAGGGTGAGGAATTACATCAAAATGCTTTATCTCTAGGAAAGTTTACCTTTGACTATGTCTGGACACAAACTCTCTCCCTTAGCTCCTGAGGCATAGGAGACAGCTCATGTCAGGCTCCCGGATACACACACACGAGTCACGGTGGAGCTCGGCGAAGAGAAGGGATGGCTAAAACCTCAGCTCGCCCTCTGAAGAGTATTGCCTTCCTTAGGCTGTTTAAACTGCTGAACTGAGTTTAAGTTTCATTTTTGTGAATGTGTGATAATTCCATTGATAGAAATTCTCAGGAAAAGACCATATTTCTTTTCCTGTTAATTCTAGTGTACCATAAATACTCACGTACCATCATCCCAGAAGTCCTGTAGTTATAAACAGTTCCTTTCAACTGGATCTGTTCCCCTCGTACAACAGAATACGGTATGTTCATTTCCAGGAAGACGTCTTTGAACACCTTTGCCTTGAGAGTATCAGCAACACATAGACCTTCAGTCCAAAATGAAAGCAACGTGGAAGCCAGTTAGGGAGTTCCTCTAAAGCTTTGTGAGTCCTAAAACATCTCACATTGGTTTTACTTCAAGGGAAAAAGATATTGGATCATGTTTTTCTCTACACTATCACCTCTGTCCTTGGATGTCCCACACATTAATCGACATCAATTACTGATATTAACAGAAAACTTTATTTGTTCAACAAATACTTAATACTAAGGCATAAGGATATTTATCAACTAAAGCGCCAAATCTTGGATATCCATTTTTGTCTTCATTTAGTGAATACACAGTTTTGATTGTGAAACCAAGATTATGTGAAAACAAAAGTAGTAAACAAACAAATTAAGCCAGCCCTGAGCTTGTTTATAAAGGATCTGTACTGTTACCACAAGGGCATCAGCTCAAGAAAGAAGTTGTATGATTGTTTCTAACTCTCCTCAAACTCCCAACCACTGACAAAAGCAAAGGATACCAGGGACTCATTTATAAAATTACAACAACAACAACCAATAATTACATCAAAGATGTGGTTGTAGTCAAGTCTTCTGGTATTATATAAAAAAGAATATTTTTAAAATTTGCACGATGTAAGTCCTGGGTAAGCTAAGTAGACAATGGCTGCTACATCTTGCTAATCAATTTACTCCTGAGTATCTAAAGTAAGCTTGCTTACCACTGTTTGAAATGCCAACACCCTGAATTTCCCAGGTTGTTAGAGAATCAGGTAGCACAAGCTGCAACTGGTTTCTGGAAGTTAAAAATGTTGATATTATAGCAGTGTGACACAGGTATCCATTAATTGAATTTTTGCTTCATACTACTTCAGAAGAGAGAGAGAAAAAAAAAATCAGAAGACAAAATCCTAACAATTAATTAGGAAAAATACATCAAGAAAGATACAGTTGGTAACTTTCCTACATATCTCATGTTTTCAGATATTGCACTTGCATGATGAGAATTCGAGTTCAGAAGGATGCCTTCAAAACACTGCAAAATCGAAGCATACAAAGCAAAGAAATAATTGTATCCATTGTGGGTATATTCTAAAATAGGGAAGCAAAGTCAGGAATCTTATTGTTCAGACAAAATTGATATTATTAAAAATTTCTGATTATGATTAAGTTTGTATATTTATTCATAATTATAGTCCACCAATTTGTATCAGGTATAATGCCAAGTACTGAGAATATTGCACTCATAAGATATAGTCTCGATTTCAAGCAATTTATATTCTAGTGGAATAAAGAGTTAAGTAAAAAATTTTACTATTTTACTTCATTGTATCACTGTACCAGTAAGGTTTTAAAAGAGTTTAGAGGCAGTGTGAATTCATCTAATACATTTATTTTTGTGTCTGTACAAGTGGGGTCCTCAACAGATATTTTAGGATGAAACCAGCTGTTTAATAGGGTGTATAGCACATAGTTGTGTGCAGTGAATGCACACTAAAGTGAAATAAAATTAAATAGTACTCTTCTTTACCAATAATTAGTGCTGCCTTGGAACCAATAACCAGGGCAAAAAACATTAAAATAAAAGCATGAAGCAAAACAAAATAAAATTTGAACAAATGGTAGGATCATCTTAACTCTTTAAGTAAACTATTGGGAATGGTAATTTCCAGATTTTTGGTTACAAAGAATTATAATACCTTTTGGAAACATGATGAACTTCCCATAACCAGCTCTCTGGAAAATAGCTCCGAATTTCTGGCTTGCTTACTGGTAACAAAGTCTTTGTATCTGGACAAAAATAGCATATTCAGTTTTTGAAAAACAAGATATGAGAAAGAAGGCCTTCACCCAACATCCATAAAAACTTTAGTTTGAATGCAGAGTGGGCCCTTACTTCTTTACTGAGATGCCCACATGGTTTGTCAGGTGTGCTTTCTTCATTATTTCTCTTCATTAAACTTTGATAGCATGCTTACCACTAAAACCAAAGCAAAAGAAAAAAGACAACTTCTGCTCCTACCCAAGATGCACTAATTTGGCCTGGATTTACCTTTCTGCCCTACAAAATTAGAAAAACAGATATAATATACAAAATAACAGCTTCCAAAAATTAGAATAGAATCAACACAGGAATGTGATCCCGGAAAGATGGGGAATAGATTAAGTGAATGCTAACATTGCCCCAGTTTATGGCAAGGGCAGGGAGAGGAATCATGCAGAAAATGATTGTCTTGGAAATTTATGGCAACACAGATGAGAGTTTTCAGAAGCCAAGACTTCTAGAATGAGGAGCAGAGTGTCATAGAAGAGGGGAATGCACAGAGTGCGCGCCTTACAGCTAAAGTAATGCTAAAGGGCCAGTGCCATGTTGTAGCAGGTAAAGCCGCCACTTGCAGCACCAGCATCCCATATGGGCACTGGTTTGAGTTCTGGCTGCTCCACTTTGATCCAGCTCTCTGCTGTGGCCTGGGAAAGCAGCGGAAGATGGCCCAAGTCCTTGGGCCCCTGTATCTACATGGGAGACCTGAAAGAAGCTCCTGGCTCCTGGCTTTGGATCGGCCCAGCTCCAGCTGTTGTGGTCATCTGGGGAGTGAACCAAATTTATTTTAAAAAATAAATTTGAACAGCAGAGATAGAGAGAGGGAGAGACAGAGAGAGGTATCTTCCATCTGCTGGTTCACCTCCCAAGAAAGTTGCAACTGCCAGTGCTGGGCCAGGCAAAAGCCAGGAGCCAGGAGCTTCCTCCAGATATCCACATGGGTGCAGGGACCCAACCACTTGGGCCATCCTCTGCTGCTTTCTTAGGCATATTAACAGGGAGCTGGATTGGAAGTGGAGCAGCCAGGATATAAACCAGTGGCCATATGGCATGCCAGCCCTGTAGGTGGTAGCTTAACCCACTATGCCACAATACCAGCCCCCCAAAACTGCATTTCTTTTTTTTTTTTTAAAGATTTATTTATTTATTTGAAAGTCAGAGTTACAGAGAGGCAGAGAGAGAGAGTCTTCTATCCACTGGTTCACTCCCCAGATGGCCACAACGGCCAGAGCTACACTGATCTGAAGCCAGGAGCCAGGAGTTTCTTCCAGGTCTCCCATGTAGATACAGGGGCCCAAGGACTTGGGCCATCTTCCACTGCTTTTCCAGGCCATAGCAGAGAGCTGGATCAAAGTGGAGCAGCTGGGACTCAAACCGTTGCCCATATGGGATGCCGGTACTGTAGGCGGCAGCTTTACCTGCTATGTAACAGTGCCGACCCCAAAACACTGCATTTCTTAACAGCATGAAATTACAGAAAATTCTTCAATACCAAGCGGAATTCTGATAGAAAAGGTCAGACTTACGTAACCTTCCCAACTGGATATTTTTATGAGAGTGTTTATCACGGAACTGCCTTGCAATGCTACAGCATTCGTTGAAAGCTCTGGCGCAGTGTGGACCTTTGGTAACCCTGGCCAATCGCTGCTCACAGGTCTCATCATCATTACGGTGGGCTCCGTCAAGACAACATCTCTTCACTACTGGATGTTTGTATTTGGCAGCTGAAAAGGTAATCATACAAATTCCCCTGATTGTGCGTAGCATCATCACATCTCACGCTGGGCAGAAATCACAATTCCACCACCTGATGACCTCCTGACCCACAATGGCCACGGCTAATTGACTGACTAGCCTACCCTTGGAACTACTCCAGGAAAGGTGAGAATGTGACCTCATCAAATATTCCATCCCAATTCATGTTAAATGGTTAAAGGGCTTTCTACAACTAAGTAAATACTCATACTCAGTCTTGAAACTGGCACATTAGATTCACCATCCTTTGAGTAAAGTAAATCAAATATCCAAGAAGCTTTCAAATACTTGAAGATGGCTGTCATCACTATACAAGAAATTCCTTCTCCAACCATATATCACATTTTTCCAAACATTTCTTACATGATATGGTTTGTGGGCTACATGAGCAGCATCACCCTTCACTGTAAGTCCTAAGATTAATCAGTTTCTCTTTTTTCATATCATTAGAATTTAAAATGAAGATTAAAAGTAAAATAACTCATATACAAATGGAAGGAATTATTATGATATTACTTCAAACATTATTATTAATTGGACTCAGGTCATTGGTTTCCAGTTTGATGTTCTTCTTACTAAAACATTACCAATTATCACATTACCATTTAAATAATTATTTTAAAATAATTTACTCTAGACCTATTTTCAAAAGAATTCCAAGTGCTATTAACTGTTAAATATATGAAGTATAAGAAATAAATTTCTATGTATACTCCAGAGTTTATTAGCTTGTGGATTTTATCAGAATAAAATGAAAGAATATGATTTTAACTGTTAGATGAAGTTTGTAGAGAGTAAATATTTGTGACAAATAAAAGTTAATATTTTGGATTCTAGAGATAAAAACAACATGGATCTATTTTCCTCAGATTAAAGGTTTGGGAAATTAACAAGACTGATCTTTCTGAGCGAGGTGAGGTAGACCTCCATATCTTTCTTTTCACCCATTATATTTAAATTAGAGGAAATTATAGAGTGTTTCATTTTCTCCAGCTTTTGAGTAACATGACCATAACTTTTTACAATTACATGAGAATTTTAGATACCTGCTTCCTGAATTTTCTGTTGAAGCATTCTTCTTGGTCTGAGAACTTCTTTACAAGGTTCATCTGTTTTTAAAAAAGATAAAGAAGGAGAAAAAGAAGATAAAAATCTAAAAAAAATTCCATGAAATTACTTAAGTACTTAAAACATTCACAAGTCATTCATTCAATACAGATGTATTGAGAGCCTCTTTCAGCTTAGGCATTGAGTACTACACATCTTAATATTATTTCCTTTATCTTAGATAAATCTTTATCAAAATCTATGTAGTCTGATTTATTTTATATGGATTTGATTTTGAATCCTGCGATCTTTCTGATTCACTGATTACAGAGAAACACCTAAGCATGTGGAGTAAGCAAGGTTTTGTTAAGTATGCTATTTTTATTACTTGGTATTTGTTCTATATCATTATAAACATAAATATGAATCAATATCAAATATAATTGTGAATAATTTTGAAACCATAGAAAGAAGGTGGTCCTGCCCTGAAGACCTTACACAGTGCAATAGGTGAGTTAAGACGTGTAACTAAGCATAAGAATGTGCAATGCAGGGGCAGACATAGTGGTGCAGCTGCTTGGGATGTTTGTACCTCATACTGGAATGTTGGTTCAAGTCCCAGTACTTCTATTCCCAGTTCAGCTTCATACTAATGCACACCCTGGGAGGCAGCTGGTGATGGTTCAATTACTTGGGCCCCTGCCACCCATCTGGGTGACTTGGATGGGATTTGGGCTCCTAGATTTGGCCTGGCCCAACCCTGGCTGTTGCAGGGAGTGAACCAGCAAATGGAAATTCTCTCTCTCTCTCTCTGTCACTCTGCCTTTCAAGTAAATGAAAGTAGATAAATATTAAGAACAAAAAGTGTAATTATACAGTGCTATTGTATTATTTATAGAAAGATCTAGTTCCTATAATATCCTACCTATTAAAGAAAGAGAGAATAGTCAATTTGTATGAGAATGGGGTCTCATTCAGAAGATGACTTTTACACTCACTTCTCCAGGTTAATAGAGGGGAAGGCAGCCTCAATGAATTCAAAAGTATTAAATAGCATAGTGCCTCCCAAGAACTACACTTGGTTCTGTATAGCCTAAACATAAGATAAGGTTGAACAGGTTAAAAGAACGCTGGAGAGAATGTGGAAGGCTTAGAATACTACATTAATGAATTTCCATTTTATCTTGAAGTCCATGAAATGTTTTATATAGGGGAGCTGCATAGTCATGGCATTCTAAGATCGGTAGAGACTCTTCAGGAGGGACAAAAACAAGGGTTGGGAGGTAAATGACCAATGTAAATTTCAGTAATAAAAATGCTGAGCATTTTACCATTTTCTTGGGAACTGTCTGCATTTGCGTTTGTGAGGAAGGTGAGTCCAGCTAGATTGAACACTTCTGCATTGTTGCGGCCACCACCAGCCCCACAGCCCAGGTCATTCTTCTCTAAAGCTTGAAATACCTGTTCAGAAAGGCAAAAATGTTGAGCCTATTCAGATGTGTGAATCATTCCTCTAAAGAACTAAATGTACTCGTTGTTACATGGTTTTAAAAAACCTATGAAGGGGCTGGTGTTGTGGTATAGGGGGTAAAGCTGGTGCCTGTGACACTGTCATCCCATATGGGCACCGGTTTGAGTCCCGGCTACTCCATTTCCAATCCAGCTCTCTTGCTATGGCCTGGGAAAGCAGTGGAAGATGGCCGAAGTAATGCCCCTGAGACCTGAAAGAAACTCCCAGCTCCTGGCTTGAGAGCAGCCCAGCTCTGGCTGTTGCAGACATTTGGGGAGTGAACCAGTGGATGGAAGATGTCTCTCTCTCTTTCTCTGTCTTTCCCTCTGTCTCTGTCAACTCTGTATTTTAAATAAATAAAATAAATCTTTTTTAAATAAAAAAAAACAAAAACATGTGAAATATATAAGCCATTCATTTATCAAATGATCAAAGCCCACATTTCTCAATTTAATTCCTTTAGTCTCTCCTTTTGTATTTATAAGATATATCTACTCAAAATTAAGAGCTAAATGTTAAGCAGATGGTACTGTGAAGAGACTCTTAGACCCATGGTGTTCTGTACCTAGAAGGCATGCCACAATCAAGTTACTGTTCAAAACAAACAAGTGAATTAACAGATTAATTTTTAACAAACAAATTCATTTGCTAAACTAAGAGCACAGTTTCTCGTGTGTTTCAGGGGAGGGCTCTTGGGTCTCAGTAGGTGAGAACTTGTTTTAGGGGCTTATTTCAGTTGTAATTTTGAGCTCAAACTCCTTTTGTCTCTGAATGTTTTTAACTTTACAGTCTTTTCTTCTATTTTTCTTTAAAATTCTTTATTTATTGTCCACCAGGGTGTGCATTAACAGGAAGCTGGATCAGAAGTGAAATAACCAGAATTCAAACCAGGCACACTGATATAGGGTGCAGGCATCCCAAGTGGGCACTTCCCTGCTGTGCCACACACCTGCCCCCATTTTCTTTTTATTTATTTATTTATTTGAGAGAGACAGAGACAGAGACAGAGAGACAGAGTGAAAGAGAAAGAGCATGCTCCCATCTACTGCTTCACTTTTCAAATACCTGAAATGGTCAGGGCTGGTCTTGGACCAAAGCCAGGAGCCAGGAACACTATCCAAGTCTCCCAGATGGGTAGTAGGAACCAAATTATTTGAGCCATCCTCTCTGCCTCCCAGGTCTGTATTAGCAGGCAGCTGAAGACAGGCACCAGAACTGGGAATTAAACCCAGGTACTCTGCTATGGGATATGAGTGTCTTAACTGCTGGGCTAAATGCCCACCCCCAAGTTACAGTTTCTCAGTTCTTTCTTCATTGTTCAAATAAATTCAAGCCTAGAAAATAATAGCTCAGCATAGTAGAAATAAATAGGAATTGGATAATTTCAAATTCTTCTGCACCAGAGATATTAATAAGACACACAGAAAAAAGCAAAACCAAAATGTATCTTTCCAGTTTTCTTTTGTGTTGCTACTATTACCACCATCATCACTTTGCCCCAAATTTGCAATCCCTTCTAATTGATAGCACTTTTGCTCCATGAATATAATTGATCTCATGGGCATATGTTTTTAAAGTGCAGATGTCTGTATTTGGAAAGATAAGAAAGGGTTGACCTGAACTTTGGGAACTAGCATTAGAATGGCTTACCTTCTTACAAAACACTATGTTGAGCAGATTATAGAAAAGCAGCCCTAGTCTTTCCTTAATTCCTTCCCTATAACCTGCCCTGGTGGTCGTACTTTGTGAAGTGTTGCACTGAGCCACACCATCCTATAGTAACCACAGAAATGCACTAAAATAGTCTCCCCTTATCCACAGGGGACTATGTTCCAAGACCCCCAGAAGATGCCTGATACCACAAACAGAACCATACATATTTATGTGTGTGTATGTGTGTGTGTATACCATGCTTTGTTTTTTCCTATGTAGAGAATACCTATGACAAAGTTTAATTGATAAACTAGGCACAGTAAGAAATTAATAATAACTTATAGCAAAAGAGAACAATAATAACAATACACTGTGGTAAAATTGCCTGCATCATTACTCTTATGCAGTTACTCTGGTAACTGAGAAGGGCAGGGTATACAGTGTGGATATGTTGGAGAAAGTGATGGTTCACATCCTTAGTGGGACAGAGAGAGGGCAGTGAGAGATTTCAGAATGGTGGGCCATTTAAAGCCTATGAATTGTTTATTTCTGGAATTTTCCGTTTAATATTTTTGGACCAAAGTTGACCACAAGTGGTTGAAATGGGAGAAAGTAGAGGTGTGGACAACTGGGGATGCTACTGTACTTAACTCTTTCCATGGGCTTTTTGGCTGTTTTTTGAACTCCATACACAGCACTGTCCACTGCTGTTAATGCCACCCATGAATGTGACTCAGTTTCCATACTAAGGGACACAGATTGGCCTGGAGAATACACGTCTTCGTCTGGAGACAGATGAACCTGAATGGTCATTTGAAAAAGAGAAGATCGTTTGTATGAGACAAAGCTTTGCAGAGGCTTCTCTGATAGCCTCCTTCATTCAGGTGAAAACTCAGTTGTGATTTATCATTTGTGTCTCACCTGGAGCTGGTTGCCACACTTTTCTTCAATATTTAACCAAACTGAGTCAGACACTAACTCCGCTGTCTGCTCTCCTGAAACGATGTAATAGACCAACAGACGGGCTGAGGGAACCATGCTCTGTGTCACTGGGATGTTCATGCTTTGATAAGATGAATCTGAAAGTTTCTCCCTTGTGCCAAAGTGCACAATTTTGCCCTTGGATAAGACCTAAAAATAAACAGTGGCAGCAACAATAAATATCGAATCTGTGCTTCAGGATGGAGCTTGGAGCTGGAGCAGAAATTATGCTTAAAGAAAATGAAAGTTAACATGTATGGGTGTACTATATGCCAAGAATTTTTAACATTTATTTAACTCCTTTGATTCTCACAATACACCATGAGCATAATGCTTCCACTGAGCAAACTAAGACGCAGGAATTAACTGAATGTCACACTGATTTTAGTTCAAAATCACATAACTAGGAAAGTAGAAAGCTAAAACTTGAACCCCAAACTGTTTAGTCATCACGCTTATTACTAAAACTGCCTTTTGGCTCACTAGGCTAATCCTCCACTTGCGGTGCCGGCACACCGGGTTCTAGTCCCGGTTGGGGCGCCGGATTCTGTCCTGGTTGCTCCTCTTCCAGTCCAGCTCTCTGCTGTGGTCCGGGAAGGCAGTGGAGGATGGCCCAGGTGCTTGGGCCCTACACCCGCATGGGAGACCAGGAGGAGGCGCCTGGCTCCTGGCAACGTGCGGGCTGCAATGCACCGGCCATAGCAACCACTTGGGGGTGAACCAATGGAAAAAGGAAGACAGGAAGACCTTTCTCTCTGTTGTCTCTCTCTCTCTCTCTCACTGTCTAACTCTGCCTGTCCAAAAAAGACAAGAAAACAAAAAGAGAAAATAAGGCAGTGGAGTGTGTCTTATTTGGGAATTAAGTTCTAAAGCCATGGACTAGTTTCTAAATCGTATGCTTTAAGCTTAAGAAAAAAAAATCACATGGAGCCCAAATATCCTCAAAATCCCTTAGATTGTCAGCAAAACTGCACACACGGTTTTGGTGCATACTCCACAGTTTTCCTGAATTCTTCACTGCTCAGTATTGTTCTATGGTACTCCTTTACTTCCCTTTCTTCTTTAAAAATGTTCAAAAGGCCTTTACCACACGTTTGGCCTGGACCTCAGAATAATTCATTCTTCCTCTTTGGCCACTGTCAGGAAGCCCTTAATGTGTTTTACACGTTCCTTCCTGGGTTTCACCACGAGCCTTGATCGATCCACCTTCTGCTTAACATCAGTGATGCTGCAGGGATACTGCTAGCTGTCGCGCTGCAGCAGGCATCCCGCATCTCCGCTCTTACGAGCAGGAGCTGGGTCCCCCTTTCACAGCAGCGAGCTATCTCCAGGCATGCGGTCTTCAGCAATGAAACAACGCAGAGGTGAGGCAATTTAATCAAGCTCTCTCGTGAAAGGAGTGATCAGTTTAAATAAAATCTTTCTCTTTTGAATCGAGTGGCCATGGTCCCTCTCTGTCTTACGGTTTTCTCATTTGTGAAATGGTCAAAACAAAGCATGGTCTTTCAAAGATCTTTGAAAATCTGATGTGCAGATTAGATTAGATGATGTTCCTGTGAAAGTGCTCTGTAAGCACAAAAGTAAGAAGTCACTGAAATGCTTCTCTATAAGCAAAGGAAAATATTCCAGGTGGGGTGAATAAGATGCAAATCTATTGTTATTGTACTTACCAAATAATTATAGTGAGTTATTTTGTCGATATATGGGCTTTTGGGGGTAACAATAAGATTCAGATGTTCTCCCACAAGCAAAGCTTTATAGTTTTCAGTCCAGTCAATATAAAGGTAGCTCTGGCTGAGAGAGGAGTATGCTACTGCATGGTATTTTCTGCTGGCCTGATTGTCTTCTGGAAGATCTGGGGCATTGGTTTTGACCTGAAAAAATTTTTTTCAATAAGACATGAGGATGCTTTCTGTTTAGCATATCTTTTAAATTTTTTGGTTTGCTCTATAAATTTCACAACACCAAGTACTAAAGAAAACAACAACAAAAAACTCCACCACCCCAGTGTTTGTACAGCTGTGGTAGCAAGTAATTTTACAGACTACAAAAAACAGCGATGGGATTACGGCTGTGGTAGAAAAGTCTGGTTTAATGAAGACAGACTGATACTCCAAGAACAAACATTGGCACTGTTCCTACAAGGTCACGGTGAGTTGAATGTTTTACTATGGGATGGTGTGGCAGGAATTGGGAGTGGAAGAAAGGAAGTAGCACCGACTCTTGAGGATGGGGGACAGGAGTTGTGAATGAATATCACAGAGACTGCTGGCCCCGATTCATTATGAAGTAGTGGTGCAGATGAGTGTGTATAAATTCAGGAGGGCTAAAAATGATATGGTGGAACCATCCGCCAGCAGACAGCAATCAGGTTAATAGATCACACTCTGGAGTGAGATATGCATTAGTTTACATCCTAGCACTACTCATTCCCTCTGGATAAATTGTTTAATCAAAGGAGAGGCTAAAAGTTTTCATTTCTTCAGTCATAACATGGCAAATATTCTCTATTTCGTATTGTGTCCAGCCCCTTAACGAGTGCTCAGTAGACGATAGGGAATATACACATGCTGCATTCACTGGTCTGTGTTAGTAAATGACTCATATTGTATTTGAGATTGGGAACTCAAGCAGTATCTTCTGGGAGAGAAGGCTGTTAAATGAGCTCTGAAGTAGAGTGGTTTGTGTGTTAGGAAGAAGGGAAGCTTCCACAAATGAACTTTTGCGGCCCTGAAAAGAAATAAAACCAGGGTGGGGGAAGGGAAAGAGGCTTTCCCTACTACTGATGTCCACTGCCATACCTTTCTGAAGCTTCTGGATTCTAACACTTAAATAAGTTTTATTGGTATAGGAGAAAATAATTAAGTCCCACATTAAAACATTTATAAATGCATCTTCCTCGAGGACTATTCAATGGATTAGCAGATTGTCTCTGGTACTCATATGTTTTGGATGCAGAATTGTACAACTATTTTCTGGACTGGTGTATAAAATCCACCACATCTGTTCTGCATTCTAGCCAAAACATACAGTCAAAAGGACACATTGTCCTAGAAAATAGAGCAAGAGAATTTAGCTCACGTAAAAATCCAGCGCCGTCACCCCAGATGGGAGATTGACCACAAATGAAGCTACTCCATCACTGAGACGTGTTACACTTCCCTTTGTCTCCAAGTCAGATGTCTGTTGGTTTACGTCGACCGTCTGTGCATTCAGCATTACAGGGACCCCTCCCACAAACTGGTCAAGCGAATCCTTAACCTGCACCTGTGTGTCCAAACAGTCCAAATCCATTTCAGCAGCTCGTTACTTCTTTTAAAACATAACAATTCTGAAATAATTCTCCTTCCTCCTCCCATAATATAAACTACTTATGTTTAATTCGGAAAAGAAAAGTGTGTTCTCAACTAATAGAAGGTTGAATTCTGTTCAGTTAAATAATTCTTGAATGGATTCGCCTATACTTAAAAAAGTTTGTGGAAAATGGAATTAATAGATGTTTATTTTGGTGAAAATTTTTTGAAATATCTTGTATGGTTTTTTCATAATATGTATTTCCATCAACTTTTTGAAGACTCCTGGTTTGCACAAAATTCAAAATTTAATGCCCAAAGGAAATTTATGTTTTTATTCCATGAACTATTTGAACTACTCTTGCAAATATTCTGTTAAGCCAGTTAAAGAGTAGATGTGATAAGGTCTATCTAACTTCCGTATTTTCTTAGGTGGGTTTAGAACTGGATAAAAAAGAAAATGAGGCAATCACTTCTGAGAATGATTCTTTTGGATACGAGAAACAAAGAGTAGATATATGGATCTCTTACCATCATTCATATATATAGAAAGAGCTATATATACATACAATTTTCACATATATACATTTTATTATTTTATTTTTGTATGTGACAAAGTTATAAAATATATTTTAGATCTATATTCTGTATAATATTGTTATATTTTATATTCTATTTTCTTATATACATTGCTGTATGCATATTATATGATAAAATATCATTATGTATTGTATATGCATGTAAGAAGTTACAAGCATGTTCAAAGTTTGCTTTGGGCTTGGTACATCGTTTTGTCTTAAGATCCAGTTACCCAGAGTAAGTAATACATTTTATAATTGTAAGACTTGAACTTGCCATCAAATAATTTTAAATCATAGGATCTTTAAAATGATAGCTATGTCGGATTTTATTTCCACATCATTGAATGCAGTGTTTATAGAATGCCTGAGGCAGGCTGTCGTGCGAACTCCTGGCAGCTGTCCTAACAGCTGAAGTCACTCTGCGGCTACAGCTGGTCTGCGGCCGCTCACCCCCATCTGCGCCCGCGGAAGCAGGTCTTCAGAAGGAGCTCCCTCTCTGCTTTGCCTCTCTAGCCCCCTCCTCCCACTAGCCATCCCTGTGCTTCCAACAAACAGAAAACGATAATCATGTTCAGCAGGATGTCTCCTCCCCATCTACCTTGATGGAGTATGGAATTCCAGGCTTCAAGAAAAGAGGAGTAGCAACCAGATTCAGTTTGTAGGGGGAGAGGACATATTTTATGCCAGGTACTTCTGCCTCTTCAGAAAATCCACCTAAGGAAATGACAAGCATCAGGTTGACAATTTTTAGGAACATAATGATCTGCATGGATACCTATTTTGTCTCTGTATGTTTCCACAGACATATTCACTCACTCCCTGCCTGTACTCACTTATTTACGATAGTAAGTAGGACATGGTTCTTAGTTCACCGGGGCAGTGCAGAGAAGAACTTAGGCCTCAGGAGTTTCTAAAGCCTTATGCACAAGGTTCACGTGTAGTGATGCCCTTGAGGAAGTAGAGCTGTAGAACTGAACCAAAGAGGAATGACAGGAAGACACTACTTTTCATAATGACCTGAGTTTGGGTTGGAAATGTTCAAGATGGGCCGGCCCCGTGGCTCACTTGGCTAATCCTCTGCCTGCAATGCCGGCAACCCGGTTGGGGCGCTGGATTCTGTCCCGGTTGCTCCTCTTCCAGTCCAGCTCTCTGCTTGGCCCGGGAAGGCAGTGGAGGATGGCCCAAGTGCTTGGGCCCTGCACCCACATGGGAGACCAGGAGGAAGCACCTAGCTCCTGGCTTCGGATCGACACAGCATGCCAGCCACAGCGCACCAGCTGTGGTGGCCATTTGGGGGGTGAACCAATGGCAAAGGAAGACCTTTCTCTCTGTCTCTCTGTCTCTCTGTCTCTCTCACTGTCTAACTCTGCCTGTCAAAAAAAATAATAAAGAAAGAAAAAATTTAAAAAAATAAAGAAAGAAAATGTTAAAGAGATTGAGGGAAGGTGGGCCAGAGACAGGGCCTTACAGGAACTTCAGGGTTCAAGTGCAAGGACATGGCAAGCAATGCAGAATGAGGAAGAGAGAGCTTGATAAAGAGGGAACCCTCTGGGTCCACATAGCAGTGTTACTGTCCAGCTAAAACTATTCAGAATAAACTCAAATTAAATTATTAAGAATAACAAACAAAGCTCTAGAACCTTCTAATTCCTTCCCAATATCCCATCCATGATATCCCCAATACGTCCATTAAATGGATAACCTGCTGTTCTCCAAGCTTCACTGCCCACTCTTCCGGACCTGCTCTCTCTGTGCAAATTTTTCCACTTCTCCTTGTCTGCCATCCTTCCCTAATACCTGACTTAGTCTCCTTCAAGTCTAATTATCTTCATGACACCAATCTTAGCTCTCAACAATCATCTAGGAGCTTGCCTTCCCCTGAAGGTCGTCAATAGCATTAAATTCTTGCACTCGCCCACAGAGTTGATTTCAGTGTTTAACATCTGCCGGAGGTTTTAGAGAGAAAGTCACAGGCAGAGTAGATAGTGTGAGAGAGAGACAGAGAGAAAGGTCTTCCTTTTGCCGTTGGTTCACCCTCCAATGGCCACCGCGCTGCGGCTGGCACACTGCGCTGATCCGATGGCAGGAGCCAGGTACTTATCCTGGTCTCCCATGGGGTGCAGGGCCCAAGCACTTGGGCCATCCTCCACTGCACTCCCTGGCCACAGCAGAGAGCTGGCCTGGAAGAGGGGCAACCGGGACAGAATCCGGCGCCCCAACCGGGACTAGAACCCGGTGTGCCGGCGCCGCTAGGCGGAGGATTAGCCTAGTGAGCCGCTGCGCTGGCCTAGAATTCTTTCATGTAACAGAGTTCTTTGTTCACCTGTCTTACACCTGAGTGCTGGGATGCTATTGCATTCATATTTACAAGCCTGCCTGTTTGGCAACACTCTGGATACCTCATAAATGTTGTTTAAATTGAATTTATTTGAAATCCATCAAGGGAAAAAATAAACTAAGAAACATTAAGAGAGTGTTGAAAAAATAGCTAAGGTAAGGAATATAAAGTCATCATCACTCTCCAACATTTACTGAGCATTATTGATTATATTCAAGGTGCTCAATAACTAGATAATTACCTGGATTCTTCATTCTGCTACCATAGTGGGACAAATTTAAAGAGATGAAAGGGGTCTTAGGGATCATCTGATCTAACTTTTATTTTACATATTAAAAACTGGGCTCAATGTGTCTAAATTATTTGTTCAACATTAGTTGGGGGTTCAATATCAACCTGAAAATACAAAGAACATTAATAATCAAGGCATACCAAAAACAAGACAATTTGACTCAGTATGAAGGGGTAACTAACAACTTTTAAAACAACTGGGATGTGTTGAGGATGCTGGACATGATATTAAGGAAGTCGTAGGTGAACCCTTGTGAAGAAGAAGGATAAGAAGAAACAGTGGTGAGGAGAGAGAGAAGGGGGTAGGAAGAGGAGGAGGAATAGGAGGAAGGAGAAGAAGAGGGAAGTATAAAGCAGACTAAGAGGAGGAGGAAGAAGAGGAGAGGGGAGGAGGAGGAGGAGTAACACTTCTATGGCACACATTATGTGACAAGTACTGTTAAAGGGTTTTGCATATCTTGGCTCTTTGATCCTCACTGCAACCCTATGAGGTGTCTGCTATTACTATACTCATTTTAGAGACTTACTACTACCTTCAGTTTCAAATAGAATTCCTGAATAGTATAGCTGGAAAGGGCTGAAGGAAGCATTTAGTTCCAGTACAACATTGCACAGATATGGAGATTAGAACTATAGCAATACTGTTATTTTTCATTTGCATAGTATGTTGCATACATAATCCCATTTTGGGTTTGATTCTCACCAGGTGAGAAGACTGGTGTGCTTGATGTTCAGGCCAGAGAGCCTGCAGAACCACTTCAGACATCAGTTGGGACTAGGAACCCAAAGTCAGAGTGGCAGAGCGCGCTCTCTCTCTCTCTCTCTCTCTCTCTCTCTCTCTCTCTCTCTCACACACACACACACACAGACTTACCTGTAGATTCTATGACTGTAACTGCAATATAAAGGTACTTGTTGTTTAAATCTTCTAGACTGTAATAGGACAGCTCTTTAGTTGCCACTTCAGAATCAAATGTGACTTGAGCAACTCCATTTATCAACTTTTTAAAAGGGGAAAATGCAAGGGTTACTTCAGAAAATTTATAATGAAAAATTAACAAAATCTGCTTCTAAGAGCCTGTGAATTTAAGGCAAATGTCAGAGGATGGATTGAGCACCACCAGTGAAGGGAAGGACTGAGTCCAAAATCAAGCCCAGGCATTCTTTTCCAATTTATTTGTATAGAATTATAGATGTGGAAATAGCACATGGACCTACAGATCTTTCTGGTACTTAGTTGACAATGACGTCTTTCTCTAAATTATGAGCCAGCATCCATCTTTCCAGGCCTCTCTCCTTTCTTCTGTCCTTAACTAAAGGTTTGTTGGGTTTTATGGTGTTTGATTTGTACTTCACTATTTACAAATTTAAAAGCTAATTTAAAAGTATATGGTGAGGCCGGCGCCGTGGCTCACTAGGCTAATCCTCCGCCTTGCGGCGCCGGCACACCGGGTTCTAGTCGTGGTCGGGGCGCCGGATTCTGTCCCGGTTGCCCCTCTTCCAGGCCAGCTCTCTGCTATGGCCAGGGAGTGCAGTGGAGGATGGCCCAAGTGCTTGGGCCCTGCACCCCATGGGAGACCAGGAGAAGTACCTGGCTCCTGCCATCAGATCAGCGCGGTGCGCCGGCCACGGCAGCCATTGGAGGGTGAACCAACAGCAAAGGAAGACCTTTTTCTCTGTCTCTCTCTCTCATTGTCCACTCTGCCTGTCAAAAAATAAACAAATAAAAAAAAATTTTTTTTTAATATGGTGGGTAAAGGGATACAGGGTAAGTCATGCTATTTAACAGTTAAACAGATTTTATCTTATGTATTCTTCTAAAACTGATTTGAGGCCAAGCATTTTATTTTATTTAGCTCTAAATCTCAATGTTTTGGACAGAAATCGGCATTTTAAAAAGGCCTTTAATTTGTCTTCAGTAAATAAGACTGTCTTTTGCAAAAGCAGAAGCTAAATAATTTATGATGCAAACCACATGAATATGCATCAGTGAGGGACAGGCTCTTGGTGAAGTGGTAAGGACACTGCTGGAATGCCTGTATCCCATATCAGAGTGCGTTCGAGTCCCAGATCTGCTCCTGATTCCAACTTCCTGGTTGCACCCAGGGAAGCATCAGTTGATGGCTCAAGTGGTTGGGTCCCTGCCACCCCATGTGGGAGACGTGGATTAAGTTCCCAGCTCTTAGCTTCAGCCTGGCTTTCAGCCCTAGCTTGTTTGTGGGCATTTGGAGAACGAGCAAACAAGTAGATGGAAGATGTCAGTCTGTCTTGCCTGTCTATCTCTCTCTTCAAGTTAAAATGATTTCAGGAAAGAATACAACAGTGAACACATACACATATAATCTGTAACATAATGTAAAGAACACCAAAAAAAAAAAAAAAAAAAGGAAAAGGAGACAGGGCTCTAACCTCAGTTCGAGCAGCCACCAGCCCTTAACCATGGACACACAGTTTCACAAATATTTACAGATCACCTTCTCTGCATGGAACAACATTGTCTATGGGCAGATCATGGGAACAAGTCAGACCCACAAGGAATTTAATGTCAAAAGTGAATGATAAGTAAATGAAACATTCCAATATAGAAGAATTTCTCAACCTCAGCGTCAGTGACATTCAGAAAAGGATATTTCTTTGCTGCAGAGGGGTTGTTCTGTGCATTGTAGGAATTTAGCAGCATCCCTGGCCTCTTCCCACTGAATGCCGGCAGCACCTAATTTCCCATTTGTGATAGTCATAAACGCCCTTCATGGTTGAGAGCCACTGTAATAAAGAGTGAAAAATGCTCCCAACAGAGAGGCTTGGGGAGTAGCTGGAAGGCCCGGCTACCCTGGTTTAGAGGAGTTGAGGTGGCTTCCCAGTGATAGGGCATCAATGCTGAAACTTGAATCAGAAGATCGTATGGCCAGACAACAAAGAAGCAGTAGGGGACAGAAGGAAAGAACATTCCCAAGTAGAAGAAACAGTTCTGCAGAGATGCCAGGCAAAGAAATCTGTGGTAAGAAATTGGAGCAATAGTAACAAGAGGGAAGGAGGGAGGAGATGGCAGCAGAGCAAATGGCAAGGGAGGCAGGTGCCAAGGAAAGGGGACGTTACCGCAGTCAGTGGAAGATTTCACCTTCAATTCCTGCACCCACATAAAGAAAAGGACTGGGCTAGAGGATTTTACTAGAGGTAACTTCCAATTTCTCACGTCATTTTAGATACTAGTGAATGTATCTTAACATCTTACCGTTGTGCTTTTCATTGCTTTATGCATCATTTCTTTTTGATCATCTTTTAAGTCTTCTCTTATTCCAAAAAAGATAAAAACTTCAGCATCAGAGACTACTTTATTATAAAAATATCTGTCAAACAGTACCATAAAATTGTTTAGCTAACATGGCTACAATAATGAGATTCAAATAGAATGTAACAGTTGAAATTACAAACCCCCTCTCCCCCCACAGGCTTTAAGGTGCCTTCTATCCACTATTACATTTCATCTCCATAGGGTCACAATAAGAAAGCTGGAGTTTGAATGGATTTTTACTACATTGTGCTACCTGGGAAGGCTGATCTTGGGAGATGAAAAGGCCCAGCTCCAGGGCTCTTTCCCACAGCCCACATTGTTTCTCAGAGATTATGACAACAGTGAGGAGCTACACCTTATTGTCTACTTATGCCTTTAAAAGGAGTATGTCCAATAACAACAGTATCAAGCAATTTTTAAAAAATTCAAACTTCATATTTCCATTTTAGTTTAGCATTAAAGTAAGAATAATATAATTATTGTGCATAGCCAATAATACTATAAAGTATGAGTAACTTTCTGGGGCTGGCACTGTGGTGCAGTGAGTTAAAGCCCTGGCCTGAAGCGCTGACATCCCATATGGGCGCTGCTCCACTTCTGATCGAGCTCTCTGCTATGGCCTGGGAAAGCAGTAGAAGATGGCCCAAGTCCTTGGGCCCCTGCACCCACATGGAAGACCAGGAAGAAGCTCCTGGCTCCTGGCTTCAGATTGGTGCAGTTCTTGTCATTGCGGCCATCTGGGGAGTGAACAAGTGGATGGAAGACCTCTATCTCTGTCTCTACCTCTCTCTGTAATTCTGTCTTTCAAACAAATAAAATAAAAATATTTTAAAAAAGAGTAATTTTCCTTATTCATGGTTTGAACAATAAATTGTTTCCATTACAAAAAGTCAGTTTCTATAATTTTCTCTCAAGTGAACATTTTATTCTGGTTTAAATCAAATGACAATATTTTCCAGAGCAAATGCTAACAGACAAGTGATACAGGGCAGGGTTTAGCATACAGGTGTGAACTCCAGAACCAGAGAGGCTGTGCAGTATCCTCGCTGTGTGATCTTGAGCAAATTATCTAATATTTCAGTTTTTCATTTGTACTATGAACAGAGTCACATAGTGTCTACTTCACAAAGCTGTTATAAAGATTAAATGTGCTAATACATGCAGAGTTCTAAGAAAAATGCTTGGTACATATAGTTGTATAATTGGTTATCAACCACATTATATTTCATTTTCAAATGACCTAGCCTTTTGGAACCGGTTGCATGCAAAACTAATTTTGATGCTTCACCTCTCCAGTGGCCACAACCTTTGAAGTTCCTTGAGTATACTAGAGGCAATGGAAAGAGACTGATTCCCCTGGGCAGGCCTTGTAACTCTGGACAGAAGATAGTGGTAGAAGTGAAGACATGCCAAATACCAAGCCGAGGCCTCCAGAGGATGTCCACGCTTCCATTCTTTGTCTTTGAGCATTGCTCCTGCTATAGGCTAGCCTGCTGAGCAGTGACATACACACACAGCCTAGTAACTTTAACTCCAGCTGACTGCCAGCCATTCCCATACATGTAACATCCCCAGCTGACTGCAGATAACATGGGTGAGCCCTGTGGACATCAGCCTGGCCCAGATCAGTAGAACCGCCCTGCAGACTTGTAAATTGTGCGTGTGTGTGTGTGTGTGTGTGTGTGTTTTAAGACTGAGTAAGCTATTAAAAAAAAAAAAAAGACAAGTGAAGGCTTAAATATCTCAGTACCAGTGTTCTAACTCACAATGATTTCCCAACATACACACTGAGTTTAGGACCTTTTTTTCTGTTTGTGCATTACTAACAAAGCTAAAATAAGAATAAGCAAATAAACTACTGGCAAGATGTTTCTTCAATCAGTCAGCCATTAAACCATGGAAGACTTTGCTAATAAATCATAAATCTCACTTCAGGTAATTAATCCCAAACACAGTTGGCATTCAATGTAACTGGTTAAGTTGAAAAAATGGACTTTCTTACCTTGCTTTTATAGTAATTTCAAAATTCTTAAAGTTCTTATAACCAATGAAATTACTTTCTGGTTCTATCGAGACAGAAAAATGTGGCAAGACTGCAAATAAAAATAAAGAGACAGTAATATCATTTAAATTAGAGTAGCTTTAAAACAGAGCAAACAACCATACTTGAACGAGCTGTAAATCAAGAAAACAATGCCCAGCTCCCGCTCCTCCTCCTCTTCATCATCGAGGACAACAACTACAGCATCTCAGGTTAGCCTTCCTATTCCACCAGCGGTCAGGGCATCCTGTATGTGCCAGGAGCAGTTCACTTGTATTTTGATAATAACATTTATCACAGGCAGTTAGTTCCTCCACTAGAGTGTGCACCAAAGACCATTCTCTATTTATCTTTGCACATTTCCCCATCTCATAATTCTAAAAAATGTTTATAAATTGAAAATAGAAAAGGAAAATTCTGTATTATTAGATAAAATCCATCCAGTCTCTAAGTGTCAGCACAAAACTCTGATGTTAGTGAGAAAGAAACAGCTTATGATTATCTATAAGAAAGAACAGCAATGAAAAACTGTAAAATTAGTACAAAAAGGGAGTTGTGGATGTTTTTCTGTTTGGTAAATTGATTGCCCAAGAAAAAACAATTTAACCTGTAGAAGTGGCACTGTCTTCTCTCTATAAGAACTCAGAGGGCTTCTAAATTCTAATTTTATTACTCTGCACTGTAGTTAATAGAAAATTGAGTGATTAGGTGAACCTGATGTGGACAGACTAAGTGAGGCAGTTGACTTCAGATTTGCTCACATGATTTATGGATACTGGAGTAAATGAACAATGCAATTTATTGCTCTGGGTTGTGCTCCAATGCTATTAAAGATGAAAGCAAATGGGGTTGGCGCTGTGGCACAGCGAGTAAAGCCGCGGCCTGCAGGGCCGGCATCCCATATGGGCGCTGGTTCAAGTCCCGGCTACTCCACTTCTGATCCAGCTCTCTGCTATGGCCTGGGAAAGCAGTGGAAAATGGCCCAAGTCCTTGGGCCCCTGCACTCACATGGGAGACCCGGAAGAAGCTCCTGGCTCCTGGCTTCAGATCGGCACAGCTCCAGCCTTTGTAGCCATCTGGGGAGTGAACCAGCAGATAGAAGACCTCTCTCTCTCTCTCTTTGCCTCTCCTTCTCTCTCTGTGTAACTCTGACTTTCAAATAACATAAATAAATCTTAAAAAAAAAAAGATTAAAGCAAGCGTGTTCTTGCCAAGAATTGCAGGGAAACAGCTCTTCCATGCTTGCCATGGAGCAGGCATGTGTCCATCAACAGATATATCAGTCAAAAAGACAGACACAAACTGTCCTTAAAGAGTCCATAGTAAAGCAAGGAGGAAAGATATCAATAATATGCAAATGCCTACAATGCAGTGTAGACACTGGTGTAAAGTATAGGGGATCATAACTAGGAAAAAGAAGTCAGGGGACGCTTCTCTGGGTAAAGGGCCTTAAGCTGAGACTTGCAATGTGTGTAGGAGTTGTGGCAGACAGAACATCACAGGTACAGACACCAGAGCTTGAGAGAAACAAGGTGAGCAATGCTATAAAATGAGGCTGAAGAGGAGGTAAGTCGGGAAGAGCTCAAAATAAGAATTTCGATTTTCCATAAAGGGAATAAGGAGCTATTGGGGACTTTTCAGTGTGAAACAATACAACATTTCCATTTGAAAATTGTTTGGGCTAATATCAAGTGAGATAGTTTGAAGCAAGAGAGTGGTTAGGAGGCTTTGCAGTAGTTTAGAGGGAGCTTGGTGATGAATCAGTGAGGGTGGCTACAGACAATGAGAGGTGAATAAATTCTCAACTTGTACAGAAAGCAGCAAAAACATCTTGAGGAAGGAAGATTGGTTAGGATTGTATGCCACAGGGAGCCTGCAGTCTTTAAGGCTGATTTTCATCATAACAAATTTATTTTATAGTTTTCCCTGTTAATTGTTTAAATTTGTGTACTTGTTGTTTTCCATATTAGTATATGTCTCCTGAGGGAATAAAAAAATGACATTAGGTAGAAGATAGTAAAATTTGATAGCAGAGCACACAGATACTCTGGCAAACTACTATAAGAAATTGAAAGATTAGCTATATGGTAATTATTAATCCATTAATATGATTGATTTAAAAATAAGATTATCTTGAATTTTCAAATTAACTTATTAGGAATTTATGATCCAGAAAGAAAACAGTGTTGGACTAAGGTTAAGGAAATTGAATTATGTTTGTGCTGTCACTAATTGGTTGTAAGACTTCAGTAAATAATTTATTAGTTTTACTATGTCTTACTTATCTCTTCTGACTGCCTTTCTTCTAAAATCATTATTTAGAAAAGACCTCAACTATTCAAGCTCCTTAAGGGACTGGATCTCTTTCAGCTCTGTAATGAGGAACACAAATCCAGAGAGGTTAGTCCACATGGTCACCGTTGGTTAACAAGGATGGGTGTGCTGATATCTAGGTATTCAAACAACCACCACTCTACAACTTCCCAAGCAGTGCTAGTAACCATAGTCACAGGCTGACTCATCTGGGAATGGACTTGCATTAAGTACATTAATGAAAATAAACTATTGCAAGAACACTAACTTTTTATAGGTAAACTTTTTTAATTGTCCAAAATTACCATATTCTTTAACTTCAAAATATGTGGTTCCAGTTGTAGAAAAGTCCTCTTTATATTTAGCTTTAATTGTCCACACACCATATCTGTGAAAGCAAAATATTTACTATTACAGATGTCATCAAGCATGTCTAATTCACCCAGAAGAAATACAATACATTATTGTTTTAAAGATGGAATAATACATACGGATAGCTTAAGTAATATATTTTATATGTGACAGATGTTCAAGCAGTAAACAAAAATAATTAACATTTCCAAGAAAAAATATTGCTCAGTAATTCATTTTTCCTATATTGTATTATTTTTGCAAGTATTTGATCCTAATATGGTCATTAGTTTAGATTTTAAAAGCTTATGACAGTTGAGAGTTTACTTAATGATGCAGCAAAATTATGCTCACACAATATAAAACCCACAGAATAGCAGAAAGTCCATAAGTATGTTTCTATGAAAATGAAATACATATCAAGTTTGTGTCTGGATGATAAAATCAACACTTTATGGGGCCAGTGCTGTGGCATAGCGGGTAGAGCTGCTGCCTGCAGTGCTGGCATCCCATATGGGTGCTGGTTCAAGTCCTGGCTGCTCCACTCCCAATTCAGCTCTCTATTCTGGTCTGGAAAAGCAGTAGAAGATGGCCTAAGTCCTTGGGCCCCTGCATCTGCATGGGAGACCCGGAAGAAGCTCCTGGCTCCTGGCTTTGGGTCAGCTCAGCTCCGGCCATTGCAGCCAAATGGGGAGTGAACCAACGGATAGAAGATCTCTCTCTCTCTCTCTCTCTCTCTCTCTCTCTCTCTGCCTCTCCTGTGTAACTCTGACCTTCAAATAAATAAATAAATCTTTAAAAAAATTACCACTTCACATAAATGAAATTATGGCTGGAGACAAAGTATGATTTGTTTAAAGAGGAAAATTGTTTAATCAACAACCTTCATTCAAGTATATTTACTGAGCACTAGACTAAGCACTAGAGATGAAATAAAATGAACAAGATAAAAAACTGATAGCTTCCTAGTGTTAATTCTCCCACGAGAATTCAAATTCTCACTTTTCCATTTGCTACCAGGCTTGATTTGGGCAAGTTACTCAACCTACTTTGTGAAATGGGAAAACTAATGTCTACAGATTGATTATAGAATCAGTAAATGCTAATATTATGGTTATCATCATCATCGTTAATTGAACACATATTTATCAAGCGCTCATTGTGTTGAAGTGTTGGAGATGCAACAATGAGCAACACCAATAAGGGCCCTGCCATTCAGGAGTTTACAATCTGGTGGGGAATAAAAAGGCAAGCAAATAAATAATAAATAAATATGAATCTGAGATAAATGTCATGAAAGAGATATACGTGGTGTTTAGATGGAGAGGAAAAGAGAGTGAGGGACCACATTAAGTTGCCCCTTTGAAAAGGCAGCATTTGCCCTGTGTCCTAAAGATGAGAAGAAGCCAGCCTTGTGAAGAGCAGGGTACATCACAGTCTAAGCAGAGGGGACAATGTGGGGAAAGGTACTGAGGTACGTGAGTGCTGAACATGGCAGAATCTCATGGCTGAACGCAGTACGTCATTGTGCAGCAAGTGGTATAAGATACAGTTGGAGAAAGGGTGATAGTGATGCAACAATGGATTCCGTGCTGTTCTATAGAGCATGTAGTACTTTCAAGGAACGCACTTTTAAAATTATCCAGATTGTTTAAAACCCCCAATTTCAATTAAAATTTTCAGAAAAGTTTAGTACAGTGTATTAATTACAAACTCCTTTATGGAGGGTAGAGAAAAAAATGAACACAAAGATTTTGCTTTAAGGTTGTATGGTAGCCATTTACAAATGCCCTTGTCTTTTTCATCCTGCTCTATGGAACGTTCTTTCAAAGCAGGGACTATGGAATCTTCATTTCTATTTTGTATCTCACACTCCTATCATGGTTTGTATATACCAGGTATGTATTCTCTGCATATTTATTTCATCAAATCCTATTTAAATATGTTCTTAAATCCTCTCTCATGAAGCCAAATGGGAGAAATGGAAAGAGTGTGGAAAGTATGGGGTGTTTTTTTAGCCAGGATCTGAGCCTAACCTCAGTAGATTTAAAGATTCTGCCTATCCACATTCATGAGATTCCTGCTGTCACTAGGTGGCTCCATTTGACTGGTTCTTCTGCTTCACACCAAAAAGTTGCAGATATGCCTTTAGGGAAAACTTGATTAGTAAATACTTTGTACCTACTTAGGATTAGATGGAATCTTGAAGTCAGGAAAAGAGATAATGCCAGTATAATCATTTTCTTCCACCATGTCAACTTCTGATCCTTCAGGATCCTTTGAATAAAAGCAAACATCCTTGTCTTAGTGTGGGTTTGGTTGCTGTAACAGAATATCTGAGGCTGGCTCGTTTCACTTATAAAGGGTAGAGATGCATTTTGGCTCACAGTTCTGGAGGCTGGGAAGTCCAAGAGAACGGCACTGATGTTTGACAAGTGCGTCATCCTGCTTCGTTTCCTGATGCATTAGTGGAAAAGTGGAGGGCATGCAAGCATGTGTGAAAGAGTTTGCTCTTATACCAAAGCCGCTCCTGTGAGAACTAACCGACTCCTGCAAGGACAGCCTCAATCGGCCCTCCTGATCTAAACACCTCCCACTGAGCCCAACTTCCTAGCACTGCCCCACTGAGAATTAAGTTTTATCACAGGAATCTCGAGGAAACACACTAAATCATGACAATCACAAAAGCACAGGAACCACATTTAAACATTTTTAACTGGTTATATAATCTTTGATCTACAAAAATATTTACCAACAAATATCTCTATCTTCAAATTCAATATGAAGGATGAGGACAAACACTGTTCATTTAAACCATTTCTCTCCCTCTTTTTGGAATCTTATCCATCTCTCCTCATTATATAGAAGAGGTTCAAATTTCTACTGTACAACTAAAAAAAGTTTAATAAAATCTAAAAGGAAACAACCTGATGGTTTTAATAAACCAAATACCTAGTAGATTTTACAAATTTGTTTCTAATTTTTATATATGTTCATTTGAAGGTTTATAAAATATTCCACAAACTGTATTTTTAAACCAGACATTCAATAAAGGTACAATATAGACATTTTGAGGTTGATAATGGCTAAATAAACCTCAAAGTTCTGATAAATTTCCCCACAATCTTTGTTTTATGTTAGCAAATTACTGAAATTAGGTTTCTACTTTTCTTGGACTATCTGTGGTGGTTCAGTTTAGTTTTGACTCAAAGTTTGGCATTATTTACCATGACTGAAATTCATGGTCAGAACTGGCTTTCTTGAATTAAACATTGTAAAATTATTTTTGAATAATAACCACACTTGCAGGTAAGCATCTTTCTGGCTGTTCTTGTCATTCATTGTGCACAGTCCTCCTAAGGTAGTCATTCTCAAGGGCTCCTTCCAAGACACAGCCTACCAACTGACTCCCTCCCTACAGCTCTGGGATTAGCTTCCTCAATACTCTGTCCCTGGCGCAGCTCCTACATGGAATAACTGGTATTCACTCTTCTGTATTTGGTGCCAGGGCTCTGTATGACTCAAGCTTAACCGTGGAGACATGGGATAAAGAGCTTATGTTTACACCCTTAGTCATCTCTGACAGAGAAAAGGCGTTTGAGCGACCATTGCCTCTGTTTAGTTCTCTCCCAGACCTTCTGTCAGTCAGCTTATCTATTCTTCTCATTTTGTGCTTCTTCCCACCCCCATATCTGAATTCATGCTGTTTTCTTCATGGAATGGTCTTCACTATTTTAAAAGAATCTATATGAATTCTTTTCATTAAGACCCAGCTCAAAGTTTCCTTTACTTATTCCACTTCAGTAAAGGATTATTTTGTTAATTTAGAATTTATTTATTTATTATTAAAATAAATAAGATACTTACTATGAACACTAAGACAGTTTCTCTCTTGGCTGGCTTCAAGTCATCATTCAATGAATAAACTCTAACTTTTACTGTAAAAATAATTGATATCATCAAAAGCTGCTAAATCCACAGGTATTTTGATTTTTTTAAAAAACAATCATCCTTAAAAGAGAGGAGTCCCATTAAAAAAATTCAATACACATCACCACACACAATTTAAAAGAAAGAAAAAGTTAGTTTGCATAAATATGTATTACTAAAGCGTATTTTATTTTAAAAAGAATCCTCTGAACTTCTTTAAAGAACTGCTTCTCCTAATGAATTCATTCAGATACATTTACAAACAAAGTCTTTGGAACAAATCCATAGTTCAGAATTGGTTAAACTGTAATTAGGTCATTGTTGATCAAGAATTTCATAGTAGCAAAATCGTGACATGGTTTTATTGAGCCATGTTAATATGTTGTCCTATGTTGGAGTTGAAGATTTTAATGAAAAATTGGTTTGATTCAGACAGTGTACACTCTTCTACTTATGAAAACCAACAAGGCTGATTTGAATTGTATTCTGTTGTTATTTATTAAACCAGATCCTCATTGTTTAAGAAAAATATTGGCAGGGCTCAATAATTGTTCATTCTCCATCTCTTTCTGTTTTTAAACAACAGAAAAATCTGTGTAGCTTTTAACTGACAGCTGTTTGAGCCACACTGATCTAGTTCTGTCCAATATATATTGCCATCTCTAAGTTTTGCTGATATTCAAGTTATTTCATGGCCAAAAATTTCCTAAAATAAAATAGAACTACCACCATTAACCAAACACCTTTTAAAGGGTTGGTGTTGTGCAAATCCCTACATGAGAAGTCACATTGAAACTGGTTCTACTGAGACTACAAGAAAAAAGAACAGAGCTGGATAAATCCTGCACACTTTGCTCCCTCCTTTCCCTTCTCTCACCCAAATCCTTCTTCCTACCTTGCAGACACACCTGGTCTAGGCTTGTGCATTGCTGGGGAGCTGCCAGAGGAGGACATCACAAGACTATGGCACACAGCCCTGGAGTTTAAAACTTTGGTTTCACCCCCCTGCCTTTGCCACTTCCTAGTGTGACCCTGAATGGGATATGTAATCTCCCTATATATTAGTTATCTCTGTGGTAAAACAGGGATACTAGTATCTGCTAATAGTGTTGCTTTGAGAACTAAAGACAAAACTTTTGTATAGCTCAGCACATAAGTAAACAATTAATGTCCATTGTTTAAATTTTATTATTTTATTTCTATGATAATTATTTGTCTAGATTCTAACCCAGTTTGTGTCATCACAACAATGGTGTATTGAAGGCATGGTCAATAAAGTTGCTTGTACCAATGATGTGGTTAAATCATTTTCTAAAATGTTGAATGCTTTCTATGTGCCAGACTATACCAGGCATGGAGTTAAAGTAGTGAACAATCAGGAATGAATGTCTCCTAAGGCAGTGTAGGAGACAGGCAATCTAAATGAATTCTATGGAAAATTCCAGAGGGTTTGAATGGAAGGGGGAGATTTGAATTATCTGGGGTGGGGGTGGGATGGTCAGGAAAGACTGCTCTTTTGAACAGTTCTGTGACCAGATGTTAGGGTATATCAGAAGTTGGTGAGGTAAAGAAGGGGCAAGGACAGGCCAGGCAGAGGTCACAGAATGCTGTCCAGCTGTCAATACAGGTAGGAGAGCAACTGAAAAGAGGTCATCTGGGCTTGTGTGTGCAGAAGCAGTGTGGTAGTGGATGAAGCTGATGAAGAAGGTGGGGCATGGGTTACAAGAAATGGAAGGATTTGGGCCAATGTTCTAAAGTCCTTTATCCTATAAAGCCTTGAAGAATGAAGCCTGTATCCTAAAGATGCTGATACTAAAAAATCATCCTAGGATCTTCAAATTAAATGTGTCAATCAGGACATCAGATTCAATAAAAAGATTTAATTAATTAAAATTTCTTTTTTTTTTTAAAGTATTTGTTTACATGACAAGTAGAGAAAGAGATCTTTCATCCACTGATTCACTTCCCAGATGACTGCAACAGCCAGGGCTGAACTCCATCCAGGTCTCCGTCATGGGTGGCAGGAACCCAAGTACTCACATCATCATCTGCTGCTTTCCCAGGCTCATTAGCAGGGAGCTGGATCAGAAGTGGAGCAGCCCGGACTCAGCCAGTGCTTATATGGGATACCAGTGTCACAAGTGGTAGCTTAACTCGCTGTACCAAAACACTGGCTCCAACTAAATATTACTTTTAAGTACTTCTTTTTCTTTTCTGTAAATAAGGCTTTGTGCTATTCTATAGATTAGATGACAATGGAAACCATTATTTTTAGTAGTTACCATGCTATTTGCTAGGCACTGTTGTAAGTGCTTTACACATACGAATTCTGAACAATTCTACAAAGTAAGTTGTATTGTTATCTTCATTTTATAGCTGACCAAATGTGGCTCTGAAAGTAACTCACAGAGGGTCACTTAGCTAATAACAGCCCAAGCTGAAATTTGGATTCAGACAATCTGGCTTCAGAATCTAGTTTCAAACACTATACTTCATTATTTCTCTCTAATGGGCAAATATTTGGAGGAAAATTCATTTTTTTTCTCTATGATTATAATAAACGAGGATATGGGGTAGGCATTTGCTTAATACACTGGATAAAACACCCATATCTCATATTGATGTGCCTGGGTTCAAGTCCTGGCTCCTGACTCCAACTTCCTGCTGATATAGACCCCAGGAGGCAGTGTTATGGCTCAAGTAACTGGGTTCCTCCTACATTGTGGGAGACATGAATTCAGTTCCTGTCTCCATCCCCAGCCCATGTGGGCATCTGGGGACTGAATCAGCAAATGGAAGCTCTCACTGTCTGTTTTCACCTTCTCTCTCTCTCAAATTAATAAATAATTTTTTAACTAGTGTAAAAAATGAGAATACCATATCTTCTTATGGTAAAATCCTGATACAGAAATAATAAATAACATGATTTTTTTTTTGACAGGCAGAGTGGACAGTGAGAGAGAGAGAGACAGAGAAAGGTCTTCCTTTTGCCGTTGGTTCACCCTCCAATGGCTGCCACGGCTGGCGCCCTGCGGCCAGCGCACCGCGCTGATCCGAAGGCAGGAGCCAGGTGCTTCTCCTGGTCTCCCATGGGGTGCAGGGCCCAAGGACTTGGGCCATCCTCCACTGCACTCCCGGGCCACAGCAGAGAGCTGGCCTGGAAGAGGGGCAACCGGGACAGAATCCGGCGCCCCGACCGGGACTAGAACCCGGTGTGCCAGCACTGCTAGGTGGAGGATTAGCCTATTGAGCTGTGGCGCCGGCCAAATAACATGATTCTTAAGGACAGTCTTGCTAACTAAGAAAGGTCTCAGGCCCTGGGTATTGGAGTATATACTTATTGGACAAAGACTGATGACCCTAATGAAGTATCCTGAACCACAGGAGGACAGGGGCAAGGACACACTTTTATGGTTTAAAAGGACCTAACATTTATGGGCAGAGGCTATTTCCTTGAACTCCAGTCATCTTCTTAAAGTCAAGAGATGGTGCTCTTCTGGCAATTATATTGTGTCCAAGCTGAAAACAACAGCCCCACCTTCTCTAGGTCTTTCTTTTCTAAACCATCTTAAGAGATACTCCTGCTGAAATGGTAATGGTGTAGCCACGTTTCACCTCCTCCTCTTCACTAGCCAACAGTTAGCAAGTATCTCCTGTGTGCAAAGGTTTTCAACAAAGCCAGCTGGTCTTGCCTCTTTTTCTCTGCATTTCTCTAACAATACCATTAATGAAATTCCATGCCCCCCCATACATGTATCTCATGATTCCATCTCTGATGTGTTCAAATGATCATGATGATGAGAGAAAGAGAGATGAAGGCACTGGAGGCTTTGCAAACATGTGAACATACTGGACAGCGTTATACTTTTCTATGCTTTATTTTTGGTTTTGACCGACAATCCTGCCCTTTCTCCGTCTAACAGAAGAACCATGAACACGAATCTGTTCTAACAGAAACTTTCTTAAATAGATTCTTTTTAAAAATTAACATTCATCTATTTCTGTGATCTAGTTTATACTCTGCTGAAATATCTGAGTCCCTATGGTTGGATTTGTATTCTCAACTTGAGAATTATCTCCATAGTTAATGGACTTTTTTTATGAACATGGCTCTATAACAAATTATTTGCCCATTGCCAAGATTATGCTTGCAATTACATGTTACATTTGTTTATCTAACACAACTTTTTATAATACTTAAAAAGAGTTTTTCTACTTAGAAATAACTGATGGAACAGATAATACAATTATTGATATTGTAATTTATTTAGTGATTCTCTATAAATGTAAAACTAAAATGCTATTTGAAAATATAAAAGTCATTAGGAACTAAAACTCTTTTGAATAAGTTGTAAATATGTCTCTACTCGATATCAGACATTAAAAAGCTTTACAATATAATGTTAATTCCCCTATCGCCACTCCCAGAGAAAGAGGCAACTTTACCTGACTGGTGAGGAGTATAAACAGGTTTGTCTGTGTGAATGAAGAGAAATCCATTGTCATAGGTTATTGGCATTTTTTTTGATCTTGAAAAATGCTTTGACACAACTTCCAAATACACATGTGAAGGTGCATTTTGTCCTGTAGACAATTGTTTGGGTTGTATCTGTAAAGGAAAATATTGATGGAAAAAAGCATAATTCTAATGTCATAAAATCCTTTGTCTTTATACAACCCACATAGAACCTCCTTAGAACCAAAACTCAGCCTGCATATTTCATCATTTAAAAGGTGGTACGGGACCCAGAATGGTAAATTACATTAACCCAAAGCCCTCATAATAAAAATTTAGCTTTAAGCAATTTAAGGTCATTTTGGTTCCATGTTGGCTAAATTCTGTATGCATTTAGTAAAACTAGTACTAGAGAGGCTCACAAGAAACGTCCACTTAATGAGCTGGCTGGATCAGCCCACACTCTCCACTCCCTCTGTACAACATCCTGCTGATGTAATGAACACTGTGTATTATATCACACGTGTCTGCTCCCTGGTTTGAGATACATGATTTGTGTATTTAATTGTTATGATCCCCATTACCTTAAATGATACACAAACTTAATGTATAAAAAGCAATGAAAGAAAGAAAAGTTTCTGAAAATTTAGCTTTTGGAAACATGGATAAAAGTTAATCACAAACCAACTGCAATGGAATTAAGCATGTGAGATTCTGGTAAAAGTTTGGAAAACAGTAAAAATCTATACATATCCTGCATTCAGATTGCTTTGCAAGTGTCTTTAAGGTCCTTCTCCACTTTTAAGAAACAGAAATTATAGAACAAATACAACTCATTAAAGGCATAACATATGATAAATAAGATTTGACACATCTATCAGTAGACACTTAAAAGATCTTGCACTGGGGCCAGCGCTGTGGCACAGTGTGTTAACACCATGGCCTGAAGCGCCAGCATCCCTTATGGGCACTGGTTCTAGTCCCGGCTGCTCCTCTTCCCATCCAGCTCTCTGCTATGGCCTGGGATAGCAGTGGAAGATGGCCCAACTCCTTGGGCCCCTGCATCCACATGGGAGACCCGGAGGAGGCTCCCGGCTTTGGATTGGCACAGCTCCGGCCATTGCAGCCATCTGGGGAGTGAACCAGCAGATGGAAGACCTCTCTCTCTCTCTGCCTCTACCTCTCTCTGTAACTCTGCCTTTCAAATAAATAAAATAAATCTTAAAAAAAAAGATCTTGCATAACAACAAGCAATTGGCAAATAAAAATTTATAATATTAAAATTAAATGTTTGTGCTCTGTATCAAGTTTTATGATTCTCACCTTAAACTACTTTTTCAATTAAACATCTAAATCAGCATTGTTCAACAGAACTTTTTGTGGTAACAGAAATGCTCTATGTCTATGCTGTCTAATGTAACAGCCACTAGTCATATGTAGCTATTTGAGCGCTTGAAATGTGGCTAGTGCAACTGAGAAGTCAAATTTTAAATTTTAGTTAAATTTGATTGGTCAGTCACTTGTGGCTGATCTCATATAAGAGAAAATATACTGAAAATACCACTCCTGGGAAATGAATTTTAATTCTTAATAAAACTAATAAGTGGAAGCATTTGTTAACAGAGGACAGCATGGGGCCAGTATGGTGGTGCAGCAGGCTAAGCCATAGCCTGCAACACCATCATCCCATATTGGAGTCTGGTTTGAGCCCCAGCTCCTCGACTTCCAATCCATCTCCCTGCTAATGTGCCTGGGAAAGCAGTGGAGGATGGCTCAAGTACCTGGGCCCCTGCCACACGCATGTGAGATCTAGACGGAGTTCTGGGCTTCTGGTTTTTGTCTGGCCCAGCCCTGGCTGTTGTGGCCATTTGAGGAGTAAACCAATGGATGGAAGATTACCTCTCTCTCTCTCTCTCTGCCTTTCACTTTGCCTTTTAAATAAATAAATCTTTTAAAAAGGGAAAGCATTTCTTCTCAAGAATATTAATGAGGGCCAGCGCCGCGGCTCAATAGGCTAATCCTCTGCCTCGCGGTGCTGGTACTCCGGGTTCTAGTTCTGGTCGGGGCGCCGGATTCTGTCCCGGTTGCCCCTCTTCCAGGCCAGCTCTCTGCTGTGGCCCGGGAGTGCAGTGGAGGATGGCCCAAGTGCTTGGGCCCTGCACCCCATGGGAGACCAGGAGAAACACCTGGCTCTTGCCATCGGATCAGCGCGGTGCGCCAGGCGCAGTGCGCTGGCCGCGGCGGCCATTGGAGGGTGAACCAACGGCAAAAGGAAGACCTTTCTCTCTGTCTCTCTTTCTCATTGTCCACTCTGCCTGTCCAAAAAAAAAAAAAAAAAAAACAACCAATATTAATGAAAGAATTCCTGTATTTGATCAGAATTTATTTAGATTATTGTTTCTCAAACATGAGAAATAAACAAGTAAACATACCCCCTTCACAGGATAAAAGGACTATCAGGGTTGATTTTTCTTATTTATAATAGAATAAAACAATTTTATTATAATACTACTAAAATATGTACAAACCTAAAACTAAGTATAATCTTATGCTTACAAATTTTATAAAATTAAAAAGTATAAACAGGATGGGGCATTTGGGCTAGTTATTAAGATGCTGGTCTGGGTTCAATTCCTGCTCCACTCCTGATTCCAGCTTCCTGCTAATGTGCACCCTGGGGATAGCGGGTGCTGACTTAAGTGACTGAGTCCCTGCCACTCACATGGAAGACCTGGACTGAGTTCCTGGTTCCCAGCTTTCGCTTGGTCCAATCCCAGCTGTTATGGTGTCAAACAGCAGATACCTCCCTTTCTCTCTCTGTGTTTCTCAAATAATTAAAAAAAAAAATAAAAAACAAGATTATAAATCTAAAATGTTAGAAAATCAATACAATTTTAAGCTCTTTACAAAACTTTAATTTCTATGTAAAGAACTAATTTTAGAGGAATATTGGCTTGAATGGATGCCAGAACCCTTCTCAAGTCTGATGTTCTTTGATTTTTCTGGTATTTATCATCAGAATTTTTAATAAGAAAGAGCGGCAAGTCTATTGCTAAGCAATCTGTACTACAGTATCTTAACAGAGGAAAAGTTATTTGGTAAAGATCATTCTATTAACTATAAGTTACCAGGAAGAACTATTCACTATAGTAATCAACAATTTTATTAGTTTGAGAAGTTATGATTGTAGACTATTGGAATTTAAACAAACATATAATATCTATGGATTTTTGTGAGCAATACACTACAGATCAATATACATATTCACATTTCTTGATTTCTTTGTAGTAATGAGTTTTTTTTTTAACTTTTTTTTTTTTTTGACAGGTAGAGTGGACAGAGATAGAGAGAGACAGAGAGAAAGGTCTTCCTTTTGTCGTTGGTTCACCCCTCCAATGGCCACCATGGCCGGCGCACCGCGCTGATCCGATGGCAGGAGCCAGGTGTTTCTCCTGTTCTCCCATGGGGTGCAGGGACCAAGCACTTGGGCAATCCTCCACTGCCTTTCCAGGCCACAGCAGAGAGCTGGCCTGGAAGGGGGGCAACCGGGACAGAATCCAGCGCCCCGACTGGGACTAGACCCCTGGGTGCCGGCGCCACAAGGCGGAGGATTAGCCTATTGAGCTGTGGTGCCGGCCTAGTAATGAGTTTTATGGTAAGGAAGTATTTTTAATTCACATCCAAATATTTTTACATTAGTATGCTTTTATTTTCCAATAAAAATGTGAAAATTTACATGCATTGCTCAAAAAACATACTTATTTTGTTAAGAATTTTCTGTTTTACTCATATCATCATTAGTGACTGACATTCACTTAATAACCACAGTGAGAGTGCTATAAATGATCTAATCTATATGCTATCAATATTTAAACTTTTCATGCATTTTCTCAAGAATATTCTGCACATGTAAAGAAAAGGCAGGATAAATACATACTGTTAAGGTTGCAGAGTTTTGGAATTTATTTTCAGAGGATAAACTAACATAGCCTGAAGAGTAGCTAAATTTTTTATCAGGATAACTTTTAATGGAGATGGTTGAATCAAATGCTTCAGTGTATCCGTACACTTGAATCACAATGTTTTCAGATGCTCCAACACGCAATACTTTTGGTGCTGAAATGACGTATCTGTTGAAACAGGGGAAAAAGAAGGTTCAGTATCTTTATATGACATATTTTCTTATATTTCTGATAATTTTTCTCTCAAATAAAATATCTGATTTAAGATAGACATAGTTTAACTTACATGACATTTTAAAACAAAATTTTTTTGTGATCCATCATCATTTTAGCATAGTTTCCAAGAAGAAATAGCTTGGAATTAAGAAAAAGAGCTGGAGATTGAGATTTACCTTTAGAAAGTTAAAAATAGCACTTCCCAGAGCCCTTGCAACCAAGGATGACACTCCATTGTGTTGAATGCACATGTGAATGGGCCCAATGGGACAAAGACCTGCTGGACACCAGTGATTGACTTCTGGCTCAGCTTTTGGCTGAGTGAGTATGGCAATGTCGCCCTCCCTCTCTAAGACTAAAATGATTTACCTGTGAACATATCTCTAGGCGGTGGGGGTTAAATAAGAACACATATATGAAAGCACCAGCATATTTCACGATCTATACAAAATGTGTTAATTTCATTATCAATTGAAAGGGAATAATCTTAGAAATATTATAGCACTGAGTGGATGAAGAAAAATACAACAACTGGGGTGGGAGGTGATGTATCTGAAATAGAATTAGGGATGGAAGCCCTCAAAGAGCAAATACTAATAACCACACAACAATAGCAATAATAACTGTCATTGAGGGGCTCTCCCTAGCAGAGGCATATTATCACTTTGAATAGAATTTTTAATCTTCATAACAAGCCAATGATGTAGGTAGTGGTATTATTCCCGTTTTTCAGGTGACAGAGGTTAGTTTGAGCTAGATTACAGGGTTTGTAAGTGAATGAGGTGGGACTTTATATTCAGATCTCTCTCTCGTTATGTGTACAGTTGAGGTCAATAGTACAAGTGTGTCTACAATCACAGTCTTCTTGTTTTTTTTTTTTTCCATGTGATTTGTACAGGAATGGAAGTAAATCTATACAAGCTTTTGAAACATTAATTTTAAAATGTGTAATTTTTTCACTATTTGATTAAATGGAAACTCAAATATATAAACCAGATTATTAATTATATATCACAAAAGTATCTAATTTGAATAGTGAGAACTACATGTGATATTACATAGAAGTGTGTTTCAACCCAAAAGCATGTAGTGATTAACTAATTCAGGCTGCCCCATAGGCTTGGGGCACACCTACCTCTGAACCTGGCAAAATGAGCTGCAGGCTCCTGCAAATATTATGACTTTTTAAAAGCCTTTTTAGAATTATAAAATCCCCCATAAATATATAAAATTATTATGCATCAATTAAAAATTTTAAAAAGTTATAAAAAAGAAAAAGTAATCTTCTGCAACAATGAAATCAGTTTGGCAGCAACTATATCATCGAAAACACCTGGCAGTCCTTCCACATGACAACTAGTCTGGACCCATTTACAGGCAAATTGTAAAAGAGGGAAAGAAAATCCAGACGTCCAGTCATCATCTGAATTCCCCTTCCCTAGTGCTGAGCAGGAGGACGGTAGAAAATGAAGTGTTCAGCTGTGATGTTGCGTAGCAACATACATTTCCTGTAGCCATACTCTGCGTTAGAGCCATTCCAATAGGAAGGTCTTACTGTGACTTCATTGTAAGATGAGGAAACTGCTATCAACTTACCCACCATCACACAGCTGATAAGCTATGGAATTAGAAATTGAAAACAGTCGGTTTTCAGAATGAACACTTTCAACTGCTGTAACAACTGAACTTGGCAAGGATTTTTGGGGATGGGCATTTGTCCTAGCCATAAAGAATTTTGTGATCAGAAAAATGTAGAAGAAAAAAATGCTATTTTAGTTCCAATATCATTAAAAATTTTGTTTTTGGTTTATTATTAATTTTTAATTGCCTAAGGGGTGGCAGTATTGAAACAAATATTCAGTGTTTAGAAGCCCCTAAAAGATGGTTCTGGAATCATCCTTCATACAGAGTTCAGTCCTTATTGAGTCATCAGTAGTATAATCTATCCTAATGAAGAATTTCATGCTTTTTATGATTTCTCTCAATAGATGCAGAAGATCAGAAGTTCCCTGCCCGGAATGTTCTTTCCAAGATACTTGCATGACTTGCTACCTCACTTCCTTCAAACTTTGAGTCCCATCTCCTTAAGAGAACCTTCCTTGGCCACGCTTTTAAATAATAACCTGGCATTTCTTTATCCTCTTATTCTCCTTGATTTTTTCCTCCTTAGACTAATAACTACCTGATCTTTACTTATTCATTTTTCATTGGTTCATTCATTCATTGTTTGCTTCTCCCAATAAAATGCAAGCTTTAAGAATTGTTTTCTACCAGTTGCTCTATCCTCAGAACTTCTCACACAGTTGGTACTCAATGAATATTTGTAACATGGTGATTACCGCTTGTTTTCTTTTTCACAAAGAGTGAGGAGATACTTTTTAGTAAGGGCCAGTGCAGTGTATTGGAAGGAATTCAGAAGAATTCTGAACAAGAATCATGGGACCCAGGTTCTAGCCTCAGTTCTGCTGCTAATATGAAATCCCTAAATCTCTCTGAGCTCCTGCTCGTTTTTCAAAGGGGAATAAGTAAAAAAACTACCGAACATAATGGGATGATCATGGTCATGTGATAAAATCACAAATCAGAGATGGGAGTGTCCTAAACTGATGACACAGTAGGTACATATTTATATTTATAATAGATTTTTACATTTATATGTATGTGCTTATGAAGAAGCAGAAAAACTTGAAGGAGCAGATTGAGATTAAAAGTCCTGCTTCTGTCTCTCTCCAGCAGTGTGATCTTTGGCTAGTTACTGAATATGTATTTTATCTGCATATATAAAAATGAATATATTTATTTAGAATATGTATTGTATATAGAATATATTTGTTTAGATACTCTCTATTGTTAAAATATTATTTCTGCATATGAGATCACTATTTAAGACAGTTTAAAATGTGGAATATTGGGGCTAGTGCTGTGGCGTAGCAGGTAAAAGCCACTGCCTGCATTGCTTGCATGCTATATGGGCGCCAGTTCAAGTCCCGGCTGCTCCACTTGCAATTTAGCTCTCTGCTATGGCCTGGGAAAGCAGTAGAAGATGGCCCAAGTCCTTGAGTCCCTGCACCCGAGTGGGAGACCCGGAGGAAGCTCCTCATTCCTGGCTTTGGATCGGCCCAGCTCTGGCCATTGTGGCCATTTGGGGAGTGAACCAGTGGATAGAAGACTTCTTTTTCTCTCTCTGCCTCTGCCTCTCTGTAACTCTGCCTTTCATATAAAATAAATAAAACTTTAAAAAAATGCAATATTTTAATAATAACACTAAAAATTGTGAAGAAGCAACTCATAAATACAGAAGTAATTACGATAGATTTTCAAATCGTGGTATTAGAATTGATTCTCAAGTAACCCTGATTGGAGTGTGTAGAGTCTTAAAAAATACAAAGAAACCTAAGCACCAGAAAAATCAATAGGCAATAAATGCCAAGAAAGTTTATAATCTTGAGTTTATCTTGTGCTTTTTTAAATAGGAATTTGAACTAAGTTTTTACAAATAATGATTGTATAAAGACTGTTCTGTTTTCAGCCACTCATCACATCCAAGTGCTTCCAAGACCATTCATTAATCTCAGAAGCAGAAAACTACTTTCAAGTTAACATAACCTGTTGAATTTACTTTTTCACTCATCATGACTAAGAGTTTGTTTTACTTACGTTTGCTCCTGTCCCCAGCTTTTCCCCATGAAGATTAAAAAACAAAATATTCCCCAAAGGCCCATAGCTGGAGGTAGCGGTGAACCATGGATATAACCTTCTTGAAGTTACTCTCCTTTTAAATAAACTGAGCTTGAAGAATCTGGGTAAATTAGTTCGCTAGTTAATTATTGTTAGAAAGAAGGACCTCTAAGCAGGAAAGCTAAAATCATAACTAAAACACCCTTTCCTACCCAAAAGTAAAGACAGGAGAAGTTTTACAAAAATTTACGTCAAGGAAAAAAAATTTTTTTAATCAATGCAAATAAAGTGACCCTAAAAAGGTAGTTTGGCACTACGAACTGCTGTATGCTAGAAACCAGGTCACGTTGTCTTTGGCCTCTGCTCCCTGGCCAGGTGTTCTGAGGCTGTGTCATTTGTGAGCATGCCTCAGGTAGGGCTATGCTGATACTGGTGGAGATCCATCTAGATTCAGTTTCAAACTGAGATGGCTGTAGAATGGGTCTGATTAACACAGGGCTTATGGGGTGGTCTTTCTTAGAGATGACTTAAAGGTTGTGTTGTGTTCTTGGTGCTAGAAATGGTCTAAGGACATCCTAGATTTGCAAAGGGGTTCCAAGGAATTGTTCCTTGGTCTGCCCCAGTTTAAAGAAGAAACTAAACATTAGGTGGAAGAAACACTGTGATTGGCAATGGAAATACCATGCTGAGTATTTAGTATTTAGTAGGGAATGAATATCCTCCAATATCTATTAATTGATATGCTGCCCATTAAAACTTTACATTCATTCAGACATAAAATCTCTTTCTTTACAAAAAACCTAATTTATATCTTTCATTGGGAGATCTTAATCATTTGAACATGAGCTCAAGAAAAAACAAAACTTCCTATAACAAGTGAGACTAGTAATTAATTTATAATGAACTAAAATTTTATCTCTAAGATATTTGGGTTTATTTTAATGATGCTCATTAGAAAAATTTTCATTTACAAATCTCTTTTATTAGTACCCATTTCTTGTTTTTTTTTTTTTTTTTTCTTTGACAAGGCAGGGGTGGACAGTGAGAAGAGACCAGAAGAAGAAAGGTCTTCCTTTTTGCCGTTGGCCGGCGCACCCGCGCTGAATCCGATGGCAGGAGCCAGGAGCCAGGTACTTAT